TTTTTATTTGATAGAGTATATTATACTGATTATGTTTTGGTTTAGGGTTACAAAATTGATTAGATTTCAAATATTTAGCTATTTCTTTTTAAGAAACAACTAAATTTATATAAATGCTTTTAAATATTGGTTTTATGTAAATCTAATGGTTATGATTATATTTTGGTTTAATGGTTTATGGATTAATTTCTATAATTAAAAATTTAATTAAACAACTGATATTATGTAAATGGTTTTAAATATTGGTTTTACGTAAATGTAATGGTTATATTGTGGTTTAATGGTTTATGGTTTAATTCTACAATTAAATTTTTAATTAAACAACTAATTTTATGTAAATGGTTTTAAATATTGGTTTTATGTAAATTTAATGGTTATATTTTGGTTGAATGGTTTATGGATTAATTTCTATAATTAAAAATTTAGTTAAAGTTTAGATTTAAGATTTGGAGTTAAATTTAATTTAATGGTTTATGGTTTAATTTCTCCACAATCGGACACTTCGAAGTTTTCCGATTTTGCATCTTCCAAAGATCATAAGGGCGTCGTTAATCCCTCGCAATTTGCTACGGATTTGCGAGGGGTATATCGATCATAGTAGATTCCTCGCAAAGCGCTTGCAAATTTGCGACAGAGGCTTCTCTCGCAATTTTGCGAGGGATTAGCGACATGGAGGACGCTCCTCGCAAATGCCTCAAACATCCATTGTAAAGTTGCGAGTGATATTTTTTCTCGCAAAGTTTCCTCGCAAATCGACTGTTTTCTTGTAGTGTAAATATATTTGTAGTAAGATATAGAAAAATAATAATTTATAAATCAAATAAAATAAAATTATATATTTTCTCTCTCGTGTCTATCAACCTTATAAGTTTTGACCCCACACGAGGCGACTCATATAGCGCCAGCGTTGGTCACCTCCCTTGTTTTCTTGCATAGTTTTTCAACTATGCATTTTCTTCTTATTCGTTTGTGGAAGCGAGGAAGTTTTTGACGATTTGGAGTAGTGGGTTTTGAATCTTAGATCTGATAACATTTGGTTTTTGGGTCATATCAAACGAATTTGATGGTTGATGGTGTGCTTTGGTCGCTATTCTTGCTCTCGGATTTCAGGGTAGAGTCCCGGCTTGATTTAGATATTTGGTGGTTTTCTTCGATGGACCTAGGCGAACATTAGAAGCTCTTGTTTCTCCTTTAGACGGCTCATTTTCTTCTTTCCTCGGCGAATTAATGTAGCATCAGATCGTTTCCACGATAACTCGATATCTCTCTCATCTCTCATGTCTTCCGCATTTGTGTCGCGTTGTTTATCTAATAAGGATACGTTCTAAAAAAATTAAAACTTCCATCGTAGAGATCGTATATGTGTGAGAACTGGTATATGATTAGATGCTTAAGTTTACTTTTTTCTCTCTTGTTTGGGCTAAACTTCTCTTCGTCGACTATTTTAGTAGTTGTTAGTTCAAGGTTGAGTTTTTGTTTCTATCTCTTTAGTATTAAGCGATGGTTGGCTTAATTACTCGATCATTGTGGCGTTGTAAGATCTTAACAGTTCTCAATTAAATTCATATTTTTATTTAGGTTAAATATTTGCAATTAATATTTAATATATTCTCAATTCATATTTTTTTTTAGGAAAACATTATATTTATTTAGGTAAAAGTTTCTCAATTCATATTTGTCTAGAATTTTAAAGTAAAATCTTAAATAATAAAATAATTCAACAAATCTCTTTGTAAATTAATATTTATTCATTTTAGAATAAATTAATATCATATAAATTAATATAATATCATAATTCTAATATTATTCATTTATAGAGATTTTAATGTATATAGAGCATAAATGGCCAAAGAACATTTATGTTATGGAACGATGGTTTTATATATGATTTGTTCAAATTGATATGTTATAGATATTTAAGAAATTCATATATTTGTAAGAGACTTAGATTATATACTTCTAATAAAAAAAAATTGTAATGTTATGGCTTCTATTGATAAACATGGAAAGAATAACAGAAAATTAAAATGAATGATAAGGAACAAACGTTTATAGTAAACTAGATATGGACCCGTGCGTTGCACGGGTTGCCGGTCGAGATTATCATTCTTAACATTTTTATTTTATTTTTGAAACCTTAACTAAAATTCTATAAACATATATATATATATATATATATATATATATATATATATATATATATATATATATATATATTAGAAAATGCAGCATAATTATTTCTAAATATAGATTTATTAGCATAATACGCAATATAAAACATTATTTATAGTTATGTTATACTAATTATTAAATCATCTAATATAAATATTGGCCAATTTATAAAATTATATAATTTTTTGCTTAATATAAGTTATGAAGTCATAAATATTCATATGTTGTATTATTGAATTTTAATAAGTTATTTACATCCATATATAAGAAGAGTGTGTTACATCTTATAATTTTAATTTCAATGTGGACAAGATGAAAACAAAACTATGACAATAAGAAAAGATAAAATTATATAGTTACGTAAATATATGAATGATATATGTATAATATGTAAACATATCGTATGAGATACGTTATAAAACTAATAAAATATATAATCGTTGTTTCATCGGACTCCTCCGCAGAATAAATATTTTCAAATGAAAAAATAGTATAAATTACATAACATAATCTCGATTTCCATTAAAATACACAAAAAATTCCGAATTCCATCTACTATACATTTTTGCAACACTTTTTTGGGGATCCTAATCGGGTCGGATTTTTTTTTTAATTTTGACCCGAAAATCTTTGATTCGGATCCTTCCTTATTGGCTATTTTGACCCGAATTTTTTTGAATCGGATCATTCCTTATTAGATAATATCCCTACATTAAATCCTCAAATATCTCTATCTGATTTTGACCCGAAAATTCAATTCGAAAATATTTGATTTCCTAATATTCCCTAATAAAGATATTCAATCAACAAATCTTTCATACTATATAATGCGATTTTAAACAACTAACCATATATAAAATTGTTTAAATGTCAATCATTAAGTTAAGATTTCGAATCTTAAAGAATATTACCTAAATTGCACTCACCATTTATTAATTATTCAATTCTACAACAATTTACTCAAACCAATTTCCATTTTTACAAAATGTATTTATTATTATTACTTTAATCGCATATATTTATTATTTCAAATTTTAAAAATCTCCTATATAGTTACTAATATAATATTCAAATCATCAGAAATTTAGGAACTTACACAATCTTTTTGGAACTAATTTATTCAGAAAGTATATGCGATTATTTGCATTTATAACAAAAAAAAAAGCATCAATCTATATATAATTCGAATATTGTACAGCTAGCCCTAAATAAATGAATCCTTTTCCCCACTATAAATAATGGCCGCATTCATTTTTATCATTTAGCCATCACGATTGCATATTTGTTTATGTTAGAGTCATTGAGTCATCACTATTGCATATTTGTCTTCCTTATCGCATTACTAACTTTTTAGTAGTATTAAGAAATTATTTTCGTTTTTTATATTACTTTACCTAATTCTCTATGTTCTTAGAAGAGTTTTCAAATTCATGTTTGTTTATGGTTTCTTCCTGTTTACGAATCGATGTGGGTGTGTGAGTTTCTGTTGAAGAGCTTCACTATGATGATTGATGTGTTAGTGTCGATGCTCGTGGTGGGGATTAAATTGGATCTTAGACGTCGATGATTAAATACTTTTTCTCCATCCCACTATGATTGAGACCATTTTTTTATGTGTGTTTCTTAAGCTTTATTCTCCCATGCATTTTATTGAGTTGCTTGATTATGGTCTTGCTCTGTATTTTTTGGACGATTTGGTTTTGTGATTTATTGTCTTTTTGGCATTTGTCTGAAGGTTTATTTTATCTTTTGATTGAAAAACTATGATCAAAACAAAAGCAATGAGTTTGAAGCCGGTAAAAAGTCGAAGAAGAATGTTTTTTTTTTTAATCGAAGAAGAATGTTGTGATGAGATCATTAAGTTTGAAGGACAATGGGCATCCAAAGGGAGAGGAAGCTTGGAACTCAAAAATTCAATGAGTTGAAGGAGAGCCATCATGATCGTAAAGGTCAAAATTTATTGTATATGTGAGATGTAATATGCTAATAAACATTCCATATTGTCTTACACTATTTTCTTTGAAGGTATTTCTAATTTTAATTTTGGTTGAAACATATCAATTCAAAATATTTAACTTTTAAATGTACGCTTAATATTTTGTTTACAGAATATGCAATATACATTCAATCCAATATTTTGTTTTTGACAAATCTCTAATATGTTTAGAGATTTACACGATCTTAATTGTTTTTTCCTTTAATACTTATTTGTAAGCGTGAAATTAGTAGCAACTACAATAAATTAATAATATCAATAATCTGTTTTTAAATAAAATCAAAGATTTTACGGGTTGGTGAATATTAAAATTATAAATATTTATCAACGATGTTATCAATTTTGTGATGAGTAATATTTATCAACGATGTTACTAATCTATAAAAACTTTCTAATATTAATAATATAGATGAACTCTATAAAAATTAAAAATATATATATTATGAGAACCATTAGAAAGCAAATTTTTAAATTGACTCGAACTATATGTCTTTTAAATAATAATATTATTAAAACGTACAATAACAAAATGATGTTTAGTTTCATGGGACCGGACTATATGGTGGGACATGGTTAGCTGAGTATTAATATGAGACGGTATACCACGGGTGAAATCCTAAAATTAACAATTATAAACACAAAACAAAACAAATACAACATAAAATTTAAAAACACCCATGGTGAACCAAAAAAAAATATACACAACAAATTAATCAATTTATTAAAAAAACTTATGAATTTAAATAATTAATCCGTGGTGTACCACGGGTCAGTCCTTAGTTAAAATACATAAAAATTCAATTTCCGATTAATACACCATCAGTCCATCACTATGTGTATAGGCATAACCATTAGTAATATTAGTCCACCGGGTCAGAAGATGCCTCTAGTGTTATCCCAAATGACATCACTTCACGCTACCGTGAGCCTCCCACTTCGCCACAATCCAAACCGCAAAAAGCTATCGTGCGCAGCTGCATTATCACCTCCGCCATGGAAACAGAGCCGGCGAGTTATCTCCGTCTCCTTCTTCCTCTCCCGCCTCCTCCTCCTCCCTAACGGTACACATAAATCTCTCTTCAAAATCACCAATCCGATTTATAAATCATTGATTCAATTTTTGTTCTTCTCAAATTTGGTTATTAGATGCTATGGCTGGTAGCTTAATGGATAAATACGTCAAGAGGTAATGTCAAAATCGTCTCCGATGCTTAGTCCTTTGATTATCTCAACTTAGATTCTGAAGTGTTTGATGAAATAGGAAAAAACTTGATCCACTTGAAGCATATGTACCACCAGTGATTCTAGCTCAGTTACAAATCCAGGATCTTGGTAATTTTCTGCTACACATTCTTCATAAACTGTTGATGATATATATAACTTACACTGTGTTTATTTATCATGTTGGAGAGGAATTTTTGAATGTGGAGAAGCCTGAATTCGAGGCGTGTAGACGCCAATTGCGGTCTGGTCCTGCTAGTTCTTTGCGTGTAAACATTCGAGCTGTAAGTTTAATGCTTACTTGATGTCACTCACAATGTTGTTTTTGTTTCTGGTTGATGATGAAATGTGTAATGGACACTCTTTCAGGTTGCTCAGTATGCTTCAGATGATGGTTTTTCCAAAACTGCGACTGATGATGTTGATCGTTGTTTAAGGTACCGATATTTCTGCGTTCCTGTTTAAGTTTACAGAGCGAATGATGACCTTTGCTTGTGTAATTTATGTTGGTTTTTTCTTTGTTTTGGGGGGTTATAAAGAGCATTGGAAGAACTGGATTCGTTGTTTCTACGTGCGTCAAGGAAAGATTCAAATGCAACTGTTGAGTTGATGAAGTCACAGCTTGGAACAGCGTTAACCGCACTGGACAGGTAATCCGTACATACAAAGTATTCACATACCGGAGAACATTTGCTAACCGAACAGGACTTGCAGTCTTCTACAAACGGTTCCTTCTCAAGTGCTTGATAAAGGGAAAGCTATGGTGGAAGTCTACAGATCAGCATCTGAACAAGAAGCGGGAAGTGATGATTTAGAATCCTCTGAGATAAAGCAGCTCCAGTCCATACTGTGAGAGGGAGGTCACATGACTATTACTATCCAAAAACAGTTGTTGATCTTACAACATTGGTATCAAACTCTTCTGATTTCGTGTATATCCTGTATTGTTAACTTCAGTTGATGAAGGTTTCTGCATATATTAAAACCAGAACAGTGTGCTGCTAAAGTCGGCGACATGACATGATCCACATGCACTTACCGATTCTACCAATGCAACATCTGCTACACATAACCGCACATACTGTACTAAGCTTAAACAACTTATATCCGACACGCTCATATTTCTCTATCAATTCATTACCCTTTCATATAAGAAACTGCGGCAGCCAATCTCATTGTCTTTAGAAACAAGCCGAAACAACTAAAGATGTAACAAGTTTTCCATCTAGGAGGATTGAACAAATTGTAGAGCAAGATCACTCCTGAGTTCTTTAGAGTTATTCTCAATTTTGATATCCTGTCGTTGAGGATTTCTATATCTCCAAGAAACAGGACTTGTTTGAATCCAATGTTAAGTTTGTATCATTAACATCTAAAATGGTAATGTCTAATATGAGATTTTCTCGTCTTGTAATTGTAATTGATCTCCAACTGAGATTATTATATGTAAAACCACCTAACATCTCCAACTCTTCTTAATGAAATGTAAAACTCAAAACCTCTGTGGTCTCTGCACTAAATATCATAAGAGAAAAAGGTAGGCATGGGATCGAGAATGAAGTCTGAAATACATTTATTCTGTGTCTTCTCATAACTTGATGATCTTACTCAAAAAGTCTGAAGCCGAAACAGATTCCATTCTTGTTCCAGGTGCACTGTCCGAAGGTGTTACTTAAGAAGCTTGTGTGGGCTAAGAGGAAACAGAAACTTCTTGAGATCATCATCGTCTTAGCTGCTTCGCCTTTCTGCAGTGCACTGTTCTTGTTGATCCATAGTGCTTAAAAATCAGAATGATACAAACAAACCAAACTTGAATGGGTATTGGGTGTTCGACAAAGTGGGCATTCTTGCTTCTCGTTGCACCATTCCATAATGCAGTTCCTGCACATGACAAATGACTCTTTCAACATGAGCACAATGTTCCGGTGTCAATTTTGGATCTTAGGTTCTGTAGTTCGAGTAAATGTTTGTTGTCGATATAAAGTTCATCTTATCAAAGCAATTTCAAGCAATGGATATCAAGACATTGAAATTCTCTGGATTTGAAACTTATTAAGGTTTGGAGGTAACGCCTTGTTAACTTGTTCGAGTTCAGGCCCAGGACAAAAATAAGCAATAACGGTAGAGGAAGGTTTATTACCAACAAAACACATGACCACAAGGAGTGGCCGTTGGGTGCTGACGGGTGCTTAAGCAGAGAGTGCATTTCCCTACAGCCTGCAACCACAGTACATAACAAGGTAAACATCTAACATCGCCAGTAGTAGTAACAAAATGATTTCAAGCAATAGCATAGTCCTAAAAGAGGATTAATATATAACCTCGTCTCACCGGAAACCATATGTAGAGAGAGTGGCCATCTACACTATCAGATATCACGAGACAAAACCACTAATTTGTTTTCTTAATTACATATATACAAAATAACCTTCGCGCGAGTGCATAGATTTTTCTAAGACTTGTGTGTCTCTCTTCCAAGTATATATCTTTTCCAACAATGATCACTATTCAGGATATTAGCCATTTCAAAGTAACAGAGGTTTATAAATACTGTACCTCCGAAGTCGAAGATGAATCGGACGTGGACCAGTTTCCCTTCTCAGCTTCTGAAGTTATCAAATTTCCCTCTTCGTTTAAAACAGGTAACCCTCTCCCTGCAAGAACAATACCAACACCATACTATTGTAAGGTGAAATAGGGTCATACAGAACAAGCTAAATATTTCAGACTCTGTTACCATCTTCTAAAAACATTTACTACTAATACTGTGTCTACCATTTTAGACAGTAATCTATTGACATTCTACTATTGAGAATCTAATGTCAAAATCCTCCACGAATATCAATTATTTTGGGAGAAATTCGAGATTATTATCATTCATAATCGAAGATATGAAAGCCAGACCTCCTGCAGTTTGATAAGATCCTACAGACGCCTGCTGAATTGAACTTGTGATAGATGACAAATTACTCCGACGCAAGCCCTCAGCAGCAAGGATGCACAATTGGACTAGAAGGAAAACCCCAAGAATTTGGTATCTGCTCAACAAGACTTAAGGGAGTTCAGTTACTCTGTGATAGTAAAAGTCAAGAGTTGCAAGTGTAAGAAGACAAAAGAATCATTACCTAGGTCTCTGATTTAGTTGCTTTCCTATGAAAACATAACGAACCCCGGATGCACGTTTCGATATATGATAATAAAAACCTGAAAAAAACGAAGATTACTAGTTCAGAACATTACAAGAAACAGTCTTCACAGGGCCACCAGGCTCTACATGATTTAAATACTTCTCACAAATTTCACCTTCAAAGTAGAAGAGCATCAAATTGGCACGCAGAACCAGTTGTAGGACTTCACGGGCAACAGGAAGAACCTAAAAGGCACAACCTTGTATAAAACATTTGCTAAGCAGAAAACAAGAACCATGGAAAATTAAACGTGAGGGGTATACATTACCACAGGCCATCTCTGAATAGCTCGGTGCCACAATCTCTTAAGTCTATCTTTTAACCTAGATACTACAGAAGCTGAAGTTTCAATTTGAGATGAAGATGGAAGATCTATCATTCTTGGTGAGTGGATATGACTACCACTCTCTGGATTATCACCAAAAAACTCATCAGACTCATCAAAGGTGACTGCTTGCGTGGCAGCTCGAGTGCTGTAGACAATTATATCATTATCAGCGATATTTCACTCACAAAATTCAAATGTTTCCTTGTAAAACAACAATAAGAAAGGCGATGAAACCTAATTCTCTCTGCGATATATGGAACTGCGGTCTGGTACAATATGAACAAAGCACGTCTAGCTGGTGTAGGAGAGAGTCCATACGGTCCTGCAACCTATATGAGATCGTTCTCCATCAGAAAAAAAAAAACAATCTATCCACTGACAACTTCAAAGGAAGCATTTTTTATAGTAACAAAAAATAAAAACAGCACCATCTATCTATCGATTGAAAGATGTTTATCTAATATCGGACTTAAATGACTTCTTCTCCTAAGGATAAAAAACAACTAGAATATCGAGACCATAGCCTCAGAGAGAAAAATGCGGCTATTAGACCAATCGTTCCACCAAGAACTTCCAAGGAACATTGTAGATACAAGAAAAAAAACAACACCATCAATCTATTGATATGAAAATCTTCGTCTATTAGCGGACTTAAATGATGTTCTCCTCGGGATCGAAAAAGACTAGAACATCGATAAAAATAGCCTCAGAAGGTAAAATGGTTTTGTGTAAGCACACTCAAAAGAAGATTGAGTAAAACAATAAAAACCTGTATAATGTCACAATATTCCTCTCCTAAAGTTTGTTGTCCTGAACCTGTCGTAAGAACATAGTAAAGCATCTGTCCAAGTAGCTTCATCTGTACAAACCAAAAAAAACCGAATAATCAAAAATCTCATGAAAACTCGAAAGGAACGAGACAAATATAATTTAGTGTATAATTACCTCTTTCTGGTAAGCTAGAGCGATTCTTGTACCTAAGAGTGACCAAAATTAGTGCTTAATTCGACAATAACGATGAAACAATTAGTAAACAGTTGTTGAGTTTGGTTGGTGTCGGAAAATTGTACCGAAAAGGTGTCGGAAGGCATCGCGGCAAGCTTCGTGGATGAAAGAAGCGTATTGATCGTCTTTCTCGGCAGCTCTCATAATCTCCGGCTGAGCTGCTAACGGGAATCGTCTGATTCCGCCGTGAAACCCGCTCGAACCGGGTTCATCCTGACCCGGACCCGAATCCCCACTAAGCCTCATCGCTTTTTTCGTGGAGCGATGAACTTGCGAATGATGTTTTTTTATTCGGCTTTTGATATTTTTCCAATTTAAAGGAAAAATAAATATTTGCCAAATGTATCAATGTCATTTAAATATGTTGTCAATAATATTTTATTAATTATATTTTTTAAAAATTTATTCATATGATCAACTGTTTTTTGTTTGAATGTTTAATTGATTGAGCAAAATTATGTATATGTACAAAGTATACTTAGGAACAGAAGATTATAACTGAAATGAGACCACAAATTTTTAGGAAAAAAATTAGGTTCAAAAGACATGAGGAGTAGGCTCACACAATGGGAGAGGCAGCGAACCAGCTTTGAAGCAGAGGACATAGCCGGTGACGATTTGAGTAGTTTAGGAAAATAAAAGTATATATATAAAGTTTTTCCGACTGGACAAGGAGTCGCTAAATAGTCGTTAAATTATAGTTTATGACTACGTTACGATAAAAAACATAGTAGTAATTAGTAAATCAATAGTCGCTAAAGCGTATAGTCGTAAAAATAGTCATTAATTAACGATTACGTTATGACTATTGTGAATAGTCGTAACCTAGTCGTTAAATGTTAACGCTACGAATAGTTTAGGATAAAATCCGACGAACATGAGTATTTTTGGTGAAACTTTGATGACTATGTTGCAACTATTTGCCGACTATTAGATGATTAATTTAATGACTACTAAAAGACTACATTTTGTGGCAAAATAATAATTTGGTATTTCTTGTTTTTCTGATTGAAATTGGTTTTGTATCTCAAATTGAAACCAAGATTCCCTATAGCAAAAAATATTTACATTTAATGCAACCAAAACCATTTACAAGATAGAAAATTTAACCAAATCAAACTTAAAAATAACATCTAAAATTCTCACAAGTCATAAACAAAGAAACAAACAGTTTAACATACCACATAAAGTTATACATACAACAGACAAGTTCTTGTTCATGAAAGTTATGAAATAGAGAGTGATAACCTATGAAGCAGCTGGAGTTGTGGTTGGAAATGTTGCACGAAGACCATTTGAGACAGGCTTTGTGGTTGCTGAAGTGGAATGAGTCTCCATGAAGTCCAGAAAGGCCAGATAAGTTGCTCGCATGTACTTCTCCACCAAGGACAAGTGCTCGACCTTGTCTTTTTGGTTAGCCACAGCTCGGGAATGCTCAGCTTCACGGGCAGCATTCTCAGCATCACGCCGTTCATTGTCAGTCAGCTAGTTGCTTGCGCTTGCCATTAAGAAGAATCCCCTTGATGCTTCCAACACCATAAAGAGTTCTTCTTGAGTCCTTCATAGTGGACTGCGAAATGACAGAGAAAAAGAATCAAGGTAAGAACTCAATAAAAGTCATAAAACAATCCAAAACTCTGTAAATGTAGATTGTGATAAATTGTACTTTACCTGAAGAAATATGGTTGTATATTCATCTGTTGTGAGCTCCCGAGGTCGTGAAGCGCCGTCTGAAATATATGAAGTATATACCTCAAGCTCAGAAAACTTCTCTTGCACATTCTTCTCATAAGTCTGAGCTATTTTCTCTGTCTTCCGATCGACATACATTCCATCTGGCTTCGTATGAGTCTTAATGAAGACCTCACCAAGACTCACCGGTCTTTCCAATTCTTCTTCCTGCGATACAAAAGATATAATGATTAGCATAAATGTCAGATTTGCAAAGGTGTAAGAAAAAGACTGATACACTAACCATTTCTTCTTGGATTTGTTTATGTGACTTTCGCCCTGATAAGTGGATGTGAGGACCGTGTACATTACGATCAGACATACTAGCATTGGAATATGTCTGACTCCTATGTTGTGCTTTTTCAGTATCCTGGTATGCAACCATTATTATCCAGATATCATCGAAGATCCATTTAGTTGCTCTCGACTCGTCCTTGCGTTGCCATGTCTTTCATCTGGTGTTGACAGATATCCTCTAAGTACCCTTGAATTGTCCATGTTATCAAGGGATCTCAGGTGTGGGTTTTCTATAAAACAAAGACATCAAAACCAGAGTTAGTGAAACTACAAACCTGCTATAAATGTAAAGGCTATAGGACAAAAAACTGTACTGCGAACTTGGTGAAGTATCTTTTTGTTTCTGACGAGGCACACATGTCCAACTATATTAGGAACCATCAAATTTGTTTGTAAAATATTTAGAAATCTTCCTCACCAGTCTTCATTTCTTGTCGTGAGTAAACCTTAGACAAGGAGGATATATGAATATTACGGGGACCTTGAGTTCACTAAATGAGACGGCGAGAATGTTAGAAGTTAACAAAGAATAAGAAGAAAGTAAAAAAGCTCTTGAGAGAAGCAGAATAGTCGTGGCTCATGCTTAATCTTCAGTCAAATATCTGAGATGGACCAAGCCAACACGTCGAATTCTAAAAATTGTTGAAAATGAAAAAAAACTAATTTGCCTATTTCTTTATTCTTTAAAGACTTCAAAATTGTTTAAAGTTGATATTTTTAGAAACATTTTGTAAATTTCAGTTGACTCAAATTTTGGTCTTTTGTTTATGTAATTCATTAGGTCATCTTGAATTATCCAAATTACATGAACTATCCATGTAAGTCATTGAGGAATGTTTTTTAAAATCAATTTATGTTTACAAAAGGTTTCAAAAATGTCAGCTTTAAGAAACGTAGAAGTCATTAAAGAAGAGAAAATAAACAAATAAAAATTATCTTCATAACATTTTTAATGACTCGGCGTTGGTGGCTCAGTCCCTCTCGGATTCCTAGCCCAAGAAAAAGCATGAGCCACAGCTACTCCCCTTCTTTTAAAGAGCTTCTACACTTTCTACTCCTTCTTCATTAATTTTCAACATCCTCGTCATCGCCTTCGGTGAGCTTGATGTCCCTAGCCTATGCATATCTCCTCCTCCTCCAGGACTAATGATCATTTCCTTCCATAATATGCACTCAACAAATTAATTTAGATATTTCACTACCTCTTTATTCGATGACCTTGTATTGTTTCTTCTTTTGGACACATAATTAGACATTTCAAAACTTAGCAATAGGAAACCGTTTTGATGAGAACTCTTGAAGTGGCCTTGATGTGTCTAAAAAAAAAAGCAAACACTAGACCAACAATCAGTGAGGTAGTGAACGAAATTACAATGTTGAGTACACAATGAGTAAGGAAAGGAACATTAGCCTTAGACAAGGAGGATATATGGATAGAATGGGGACATCGAGTTCACCGAATGAGACAGCGAGAATGTTAAAAGTTAATGAAGAAGAATAAGAAAGTAAAGAAGGTCTTGAGAGAAGTAGAGTAGTCGTGGTTCAGGCTTAATCTTTTATCAGATATTCGAGAGGCACTAAGCCAACACGTCGATTCCTTAAAATTGTTGAAAATGAAAAAATAAATATTTTCCTATTTCTTTATTCTTTAAGTACTTCAAAGTTGTTTAAAGTTGATATTTTTGAGAAACTGTTTGTAAACTCTAAATGACTCAAATTTTGGTCATTTGTTTATGTAAGTCATTGGATCAACTTGAATTATCCAAATTATATGAATTATCCATGTAAGTCATTGAGGATTTTTTTTAAAAAATTCAATTTATGTTTACAAAAGGTTTAAAAAATGTCAACTTTAAGAAACATAGAAATCATTAAAGAAGAGAAAATAAACCAATAAAATTTATCTTCATAAGACTTTTAAGGACTCGGCTTTGGTGGCTCAAGCCCTCTCGGATTCTTGGCCCAAGAAAAAGCATGAGCCACAACTACTCCCCTTCTCTAAATATTTTCTCCACTTTCTTCTTTTGTCTTCAATAACTTTCAACATCCTTGTCATCTCATTTGGCGAGCTTGATGTTCCTACTTTTTCCATATCTTCGCCTCCTCCAGGACTAAAGATCCTTTCCCTCCATAATATGCACTCAACAAATTAATTTAGATATTTCACTGGCTCGCTGGTCGATGACCTTGTGTGCGTTTCTTATTATGGACACATATAAAACACTTCAAAAGTTAGCAATAAAAGATGGTTTCTCCTAAACCGTTTTGATGAGAACTCTTGAAGTGGCCTTTATGTGTCTAGAAAAGTAAACACTAGACCAACAATCAGCGAGGTAGTGAACGAAATTACAATGTTAAGTACACAATGAGTAAGGAAAGGAACATTAGGCTTTGAAAAAGAGGATATATGGATAGAACGGGGACATCAAGCTCACTGAATGAGACAGTGAGGATGTTAAAGGTTAATGAAGAAGAAGAAAAGAGTAAAGAACCTCTTTACCAAAGGAGAGTAGTCATTGTTCAGGCTTAATCTTCGGTTAGATATCCAAAAGGGACTAAGCCAACACATCGTTTCCTTCAAAATCGTTGAAACTGAAGAAAAAAAATTATTTGCCTATTTTTTTTTTTTTTTAATGACAATAAAGTTGTTTAAATTTTGATATTTATAGATTATTTTTGTAGACTCTAATTGACACAAGTTTTGCTCTTTTGTTTATGGTTGTCATTGGGTAAACTTGAATTATCCAAATTACATGAATTATCCATGTAACATTGACTAAGTTTTAAGATAATCAATTTATGTTTACAAAAGGTTTCAAAAATGTCAACTTTCAGAAACATAGAAGTCATTAAAGAGGAGAAAATAAACAAATAAATGTTTTTTTTTAATTTTATTTTTGACAGCTAAAAGTTCTCTTCATAGGACTTTTAAGGACTCTACGTTGTGGCTCAGTCCCTCTCAGATTCCTGGTCCAAGAAAAAGCATGAGCCACAACTACTCCCCTTCTCTAAAGAGCTTCTCCACTTTCTTCTTTTTCTTCATTAACTTTCAACAGCCTCGTCGTCTCATTCGGTGAGCTTGATGTCCATACCCTATCCAAATCTCCGCATCCTCCAGGACTAAAGATCCTTTCCCTCCATAATATGCACTCAACAAATTATTTTTGATATTTCATTACCTCGATGGTCGATGGCCATGTGTGTGTTTCTTCTTTTGGACACATATAAGACACTTCAAAAGATTCTTTCTCAGAAACCGTTTTGATGAGAACTCTTGTAGTGGAATTTATGTGTCTAAAAGAAAAAGCAAACACTAGACCAACAATCAACAAGGTAGTGAACAAAATTACAATGTTGAGTACACAATGAGTAAGGAAAGGAACATTAGGCTTGGAAAAGGAGGATATATGGATAGGACTGGGACATCGAGCTCACCGAATGAGACGGCGAGGATGGTAAAGGTTACTGAAGAAGAAGAATAGAGTAAAGAACCTTTTTACCAAAGTAGAGTAGTCGTGGTTCAGGCTTAATCTTCCGTCAGATATCCGAAAGGGACTAAGCCAACACATCGTTTTCTTCAAAATTGTTGAAAATGAAAAAAACAATTATTTTCCTATTTCTTTTTTCTTTAATGACTTTAAAGTTGTTTAAAGTTGATATTTTTTAGAAACTCTTTGTAAACTCTAATTGACTCTAATTTTGGTATTTTGTTTATGTTAATTATTGGGTCAACTTGAATTATCCATGTAAGTTATTGAGAAATTTTTTTTAAAAAGCAATTTATGTTAACAAAAGGTTTCAAAAATGTTAACTTTTAAAAACATAGAAGTCATTAAAAAGGAGAATAAACAAAAAAAAAAATTCTCTTCATAAGACTTTTAATGACTCTACGTTGGTGGCTCAGCCCCCCTCGAATTCCTGGCCCAAGAAAAAGTATGAGCCACAACTACTCCCATTCTCCAAAAAGCTTCTCCACTTTATTCTTTTTCTTCAGTAACTTTCAACATCCTCTTCATCTCATTCGGTGAGCTTGATGATCCTACCCTATATATATCTCCGCCTCCTTCAAGACTAAAGATCCTTTTCCCTCCACAATATGCACTCAACAAATTAATTTAGATATATCACGACCTCACTGGTCGATGGCCTTGTGTGCGTTTCTTCTTATGGACACATATAAGACACTTCAAAAGTAAGCAATAAAAGATTGTTTCTCAGAAACAATTTTGATGTGAACTCTTGAAGTGGCCTTTATGTGTCTAAAAGAAAAAGCAAACACTAGGCCAACAATCAGCGAGGTAGTGAACGAAATTACAATGTTGAATACACGATGAGTAAGGAAAGGAACATTAGACTTGGACATGGAGGATATATATGGAAAGAACGAGGACATCGAGCTCACCGAATGAGACGGCGAGGATATTAAAAGGTTAATGAAGAAGAAGAAGAGAGTAAAGAACCTCTGTACCAAAGCAGAGTTGTCGTGGGTCAGGCTTAATCTTCTGTCACATATCCGAGAGGGACTAAGTCAATACGTCGTTTCCTTAAATTGTTCAAAAGGAGAAAAAAAATTATTTGCCTATTTCTTTATTCTTTAATGACTTCAAAGTTGTTTAAAATTTATATATTTTTAGAAACTATTTAAAAACTCTAATTGACTCAAATTTTTGTCTTTTGTTTATGTTAGTCATTGGGTCAACTTGAATTATCCAAATTACATGAATTATCCATGTAAGTCATTGAGGAATTTTTTAAAAAATCAATTCATGATTACAAAATGTTTCAAAAATGTCAACTTTAAGAAACATAGAATTCATTTAAGAAGAGAAGATAAACAGATAAAAATTATCTTCATAAAACTTTTAAGGACTCGGCGTTGGTGGCTCAGTCCCTCTCGGATTCCTGGCCCAAGAAAAACCATGAGCCACAACTACTCCCTTTCTCTAAAGAGCTTCTCCACTTTCTTCGTTTTCTTCATTAACTTTCAACACCCTCGTCGTCTCATTCGATGAGCTTGATGTCCCTACCTTATTTATATCTCCGCCTACTCCAGGACTAAAGATTCTTTTCCTCCACAATATGCACTCAACAAATTAATTTAGATATTTCACTACCTAGATGGTCGATGGCCTTGTGTGTGTTTCTTCTTTTGGACACATATTAGATACTTCAAAAGTTAGCAATAAAGGACGGTTTCTCTAATTCCGTTCTGATGAGAATTCTTGAAGTGGCCTTTATGTGTCAAATTTTGGTCTTTTGTTTATGTAAGTCATTGGGTAATCTTGAATTCTCCTAGTGGTGGAAAATTGATTTTGGTTCAGTTATATTAGTGGTTGACTTATTTTTTCCCAACACTATGTGAGTTTGGAACCGGGTGATTAGACATCAACCTTTGGCAAAAGCTTTAATCAAGTGTTATCAAGGGAATGGTCGTACAATGAGCTTTTTATCTGAAAATGGTCTCCTCTTGGAGTTATTGATCTCATTGGCAGCAATTGTTCTTTAACCCTCAGCATCTCGATTAAGGCATAAATTGCAGGCATGCAATCACTTGTAATAATTCTAGCTTGATCTATAAGCATTTAGATATGTCATGCCTCATTCTTCCTTGTGAATCCGTATGGTAAAAACTACATATGATCGTTGCGCACTTGCAGCATCTTAGCATGTCAGAATTAAAATATTTATTTATCCGATTTGTTTGGTAAAAACTATACGCAGATCAAGTATTAAAGCTTTACTAGGTGATCATCCGCTCTACGCTGCGGATTTTGTCTTGGTTTATTTAAATTTATGTTATGAGAAATATAATATTTTTATTATCTAATCATTCACTCATGTTAGGTGCGTGAGTTATTGAAAGCAATTTTTTGTGGGAAGGAGATAAATCTTGGTATACAGTACATCTAGGCAGCACCAAGATGTATCAGAAACATAAACCTTTTTATCATCAAAATAGTATGAAGTGTGATGGTGGAGTGTTTTTATCCAAGTGTTTGGTAAGCCAGCAGGTGAAAGTGGAAAGAGTTTTTAGTGGTAAACTATAAGCATTACACATTCTAAAGTGGATGTGGAAAAAGTTTCTACAGATTATATCACTGTACTTAGAGACACTGTACTTGCTCTTCATTACCACAAAGGATGCGACCGTCTGCTCTCTCATGCCTAGTTTTTCTAAGTAACGTTTATTATTATGCTTACTTTGTATTAATATCTCTGGCTTTTTAATTCGTTTTTTTTTAATTATAGAAGCTCTCATCCCCATATCATAATATTCCATTTTAGTAATAGAATTTCATATTTTATCAAAGAAAAAAAGAAGAGTATAAAAAAGACTACTAAACCGATATAGTCTTTTATTTTATTTTTTACTTTGCTTTTCCATAGAACTAAAAACAAGATTAACCAAAGAGTTTTTACGGTTATCGAATAAAAAATTTATGCATTTCCTACAGGGAGATAAGCATTTGCTTTAGACCACAACATATATACCAAAAATTAAAGATGCTTAAAGATATTTAAAGCTTCGGGGTTGATTGGTATGGGTTGTAGAAGTTGTGGGAAGACAAAAAATTTCTCTTACGACACCAAAATAAATAAATTATTTCCCTTTTTCTAAGTTAAATCTCTAAAGCCAACTTTTTGGTGTTGTATAAATCTTTAAATCTACATCCATTACTGATCAGACCCTTTAGATTCTTTAAAGTATTTAAGCGTATAGAAGGACTTTGGTTTTTCTATGATAAATCAAATGATTTAATCATTAGCAAATAAACACTTTTTCATAAATCAAGAATACCCATAGGTGATAGATTTATACAATAAATATTCTCTTTTCTTTTTTCAACAAAATTTTGTTCTTTAAAACAGTTTTATATGTGGTTATATTATATTTTACCAAACCTACATTTTCATCGTTAGATCTTTACATCTCATAATTTTTTTAAAATACCTAAAACATTCCAATGAAAAAGAACATATATTCACAATGATAACATGAGCAAAAATAATTATTCAAATATTAAAAATTGGTATGAAATCAAATAAATATAAATTTTAAAATTAGTTATTATTAAAACATACCTTTTGAAAGCATAATTGACGTCATGATATTTTCTTTAAGCCTCAAAATAGCTAGCGAATTTATATAGAATATCTATGGAGCTTCCAAGTTTCTTATGTTCTAATATTGCAGTGTGGTTGAATTGGGAACCTTATATATAGATGAAAGAAAAGTTAAAATAGATAAAGAACAGATGGAATAACATCGTGTAAAGTTTTAGATCTATTGAAGATAACACATCAGCCTATTGTGTCATACTCTGTCTATTAAATAAAATACCAATGAAAATAAGATGAAAAAGCAAAGACATTGAATCATTGATACTGTCTTTTTCACTATTCAAAAGAATCGTCACTCTTAATAAATTTATCTAATATGAAAATGTTTTAACAAAAAGAGAAAATACACATTATCGAGAAATAATTAAGACCATAACTTATCTGGTTTCAATCTGAGTCTTGAACGATGAAAAAATATAATTTGACTGTTGTTCCAAGAAAAATCAGATTTTTAATCTATTTGAAATCTATAGAAAAATCTTTTCGATCTTAATTGTAGCAGGAATCAAATCATAATAAAAAAATAAAAATTTGTTTTACAAAAGAACAAATTATGAAAGAAAAATGAAAGATTTAATCACAATGATCCCATGAGAAATCTTAAATCCTAAAAAATAAACAGCTATTCCAAAATAATGGAAATCGAATGATTATACTGATCTTAAAACTCATTTTTATTGAAACATACCTCTGAATCAATAACTAATCTCGTAGGATTGAGATCAATCTTGTTTTTACAACATATTAACGGCAAATCCGCAATGTATTTTCTTTTGTTTTTTTTCCTGGTTTAAGTTGATGCGGCGCAACTGAAATTGTAAAACAAATACAGATTTCTCGAACCTTAAATATGAAACAAGGGTTAACCTAGATAAAAAATCAAGTATGGTCATCAAAACTAAAAGCCCAATGAAAACATATTTGGGCCTCTCATTAAGTTTACATTAAAAAATCAAAACTTTTAGCATTTGTTTACACTACATTTAACTAGTGGGCCAATATTTTCATTTTACTCTTAGAAAATAGATCTTTTGAATATAATTTGTTTTAATGGTGACGGTCTACAAAGCAATTTAAGCTAGGCATGTAAAGAACAAATAATATATAACCAATAAAACAACGTTGTTTAAAAAGAAAATCTTGGATCCATCTAGGGGATATCGTACATGCAGAACCGTCCGTTGTGGATTCGAGTGTTGTGGAGAGAGTTGCACCATAGAATCATTGTTAGTTGTTAACTCTTATTTTTATCTATTTTAGAGTCGTTTTAACACCGAGTGTTGAGTCTATTTAGTAATCACAAGTTAGTTTTTGGTGTTTTTGTGTCTTTTTAAGTTTTTACACTTGCTGGAGTGATATGACAAGTTTTGAATGGAAATGGATCAAAACATCGTCAAGTAAAGCACTGATTGAACAAGAAGACGGATCGATAAACTTTTGTAACCGGTCGGTTGGCGTTTTGGAAATTTTTCATTTTCTTAGATTTTAGAGCTTTCTCCTTTTATATATTAAATACTCCTTCACTCCCAGCCGGAGAGACAAGTTTTTCGGTGCTATTTTCATTGTTTTAAAGGTTGTTCTTAGTTTTAGGATTTGTAAAAGAGTTTTATTTAAACATTTCTATTCTTTGTAATTCATTATGAGTTCTTATTCTACTTCTATCATTTCTTTTATGTTCATGTGTGAGTGATTTATTCATTGAGTTTTGGGTTTTATAAAGGGATAATTATGTAGATTTTCATTTGGGTTTTTATGGGATTGATTATATAGTTCCTCATCTAAAATTATACTTCAGTTGCTTTGATGGAATTAGGCTAGTTTGATCACAGCCCAAATCTATTCATCGTGGCACCAAAAGTGTTGTTGAATTGATGGACCTATTCTAGGTGGATATTACTCCCTTAGCCATAAAAGTTGTTGCTAAGGTGTTTTGTGGATATCAAACTTACACTTAAACCTTGCTTGAATTTCTATTGACAAAGGAAAGTTTAATTGTTAGGAATATCATGTCTTAGATACAAAAGTATGATAAATTTATAATTGTGTTTTGAGTTCAAGAACGGTTCTAAATGCTTCACATATTTAATTCATATTTGTTTCATAATCCTTTGATGAATTCCTTTCACTCAATGCTTTTTACAGTATTTTTTTATTTAATTTTTTTTATTTATCACCTTGAGTTAAATTGAAAACTCTTGTTTATTCTAGCTTTATTTACATTAATATAGTTCATTATGCTTTTTTTTGTCTTTATGAATTTGATCCCAAAATCCGATTGTAATTGTATATTGCAATTGCAATAAATAAGTTGGGTTAAACCTTGTGCTTAACAAGTTTTTGGCACCGCTGCCGGAGACCAAATAACTGTGCATTCGAAGTTTTTATGTAGATTTCGTCTAGGAAGTTATTTATTTATTTTTATTTGTTTTAGCTATTTAGTTCTATTCTTTTTCCATGTGTGTGTTTGAAGTGTAATCAAATATGAATGCTCAAGGAATTGTGGATCTTTATGTCGTAGCTCGTAATCCGCTTAACCTTCCATCACCACCTCCACTACTGATCGGTGTTCCACCTGCACCGATCGGTGTTCCACCTGCACTGATCGGTAACATGCCACACTTCGTTCACTGCTCGGTTTGCATCATGTACCAATCGTATGTAGACGGATATATTGATAAGGCGGAGACATCGAGCTCACTGAATGAGACGGCAAGGATGTTAAAAGTTAATGAAGAAGAAGAAGTAGAAGAAGAAGAAAGTAAAGAAGCTCTTACTCGAAGCAGAGTAGTTGTGGTTCAAAAAAACCGTGTTTACATCAAGTGCAACGATTATGAGGGTAAAGTAAAGAGTTTAAAATTCCTGGACTTCTAATATACACTTAAGATCGAGTTGAAAACCGTGATATAAGAAAATCTTCGTATCTTCGATTGCATGAGTTTTTGAAGAAGAGAGAATCGGTTGCGGATGGTCTTATCGATGAGTCTTTAAAATTGTTGAAAATGGAAAAACATTATCTCAAATTTTTGGTCCTTTGTTTATGAAAGTTATTGGGTCATCTTGAGTTTTTCTAGTGGTGGAAAATTGATTTTGGTTCGGTTAATTGAATTTTTGGGTTATTGTTATTTCCAACAATATGTGAGTTTGGGACCGGGTGATGAGGCATCCAACCTTTGACTAAAGCTCTAATCCAGGGGAATCTAGGGAATGCTCCTACAACAAGGTTTTTTTCTAAAAATGGTCCCCTCTTGAAAAATAAGTCAACAAGAGAAGGTCTATAATTAGACAGGTGGTCAAAGAAAGAGAAATTGTTTTGAAATTTTAATCAAACATATTTATCTATTAGTCTTTCGATCATAAACTAATGATTCTAACTTAAAATAAAATTTAATTAAACAAGAAAAAATATGAAAGACCCTATTAGAAGAGAAAAAAAAGAGATAATCTCAATGATCACATGAGCACAAAAGTTATTGAAAAATATTTAAGAACTTGGCATGAAATTGAATGGATAGACAAATCTTAAACTCATGTGAGAGAGATTCAAACCTAAAAAAACCTCTCCCTTCTCTCTTAAACAAAAGTAGCCGCCGCTTTGTTTTTCCGGTTCCGGTGGCTTCCACAGCACCGGAGCCGGAGGAACTCTTTTTCTTGTCTTGTTTTATCTCTTTTCTTGTCTACATCGATGTTTTTCTTCCAACAGAATCAAATCTAGTTTTCCACATCTAGGTTTTTAAAGCTTAAATCTTTTCATCCTTGGATTCTTGCTGTTTGCCTCTTTTGTCTCCGCCATTCTCAGCTTCCGATCTGGCCGTATCTTTCCTTGGCAGAGGCAGTCTTCAACCGATTCTTCACTGCCTCAGATAAAGAGATTTCACCATCGTAGATCTAGATCTTCTTCCTTTCTTCAAGAGACGATCCTTGAGTCTCTAGGTTTTGGATGTGTCTCACCGCCTCCGTGGCTCCTCTCCGGAGCATTATAAAGAGGGTCGCACGACATTTTCATTCGGTTTCAACTTGTGGTAAAGGAGATTCTTGTATTGTAACCCGTTTGTGTGTTTTTCTTAATCTCATATTTGATTTGATTTTCTAAAGTTTAGGTTTTGTAAATCTTTTTTTGGGTTTCTAGATTCTAATTTGGGAAGTATTGATGGTTGTAGTGTAGTTGGTTTGTTTGGATTTTGTCCCCTTTGTTTACCTTGTTTGGTCTTTGTCTCTGGGAGTGTTCTTGTACTCGCCAGCTTATGTCTCCGGAAGTGTCTTGTACTTGCCGGCTCTTGTATTTCATCTTGAATCCTATCAATGAAATCCTATTGACGAAAAAAAAAAATATCTTAAACTCATTTTTATACACATATACATGTTGAGTGCATAGCTAATTTTGAGATATCGTCTTTGATTTCATTTAAATCTCGCACAAATATTTATTTGAATATTTATATCGATACATCCTAAATGATTTTTTTCTTTCTAATATTTAGAAAAGTGTAGAGTGAGTGTGTTTTATATATGAAACAAAGTTTAACTTAGATTAAAAAAAACATGTCCGGCCCAACGAAACTAAAAGGGGAAAAAATCCGATAACCGCCATCTATTTTTATTTTGGCCGTTTAATACGTGTAGTTTTATAATTGGAAAAAAATACATCGTTTATTTAATATTGTCTTTTAAAATATTCATGTTAAAACGGTTGGTGGATTCCTACTTACGAGTTAACAGCCGTTAACATGGGTGACGGAATTATTTGACGGTGTTAGAACTTCATCCAACGTGTTTAAATATATATATAAAATTTGTTTACAACAGTCAACAATTATATTGATGCGGTCTGGTGGTCGTAATTGTATTGTTTACCCTCAGAACGCGGGTTCGATGCTTCACATTACTCCTTTTTTTCCCATTTTCATGCTCGGTTCTCTGTTAACCGGATCTAACCGAAAATTCGAACCGATTATCTTCTTCGCTGCCATTAACGAGCTTCCGCAGATTGCACCAGAAGCAACCGTCCTCGCCGCTTCGTCTCCTCCGCATCTCGCCAGAATCATAAGTTCCCTGACGGCGTTCTCCTTGATTCGCAGGCTTGAACCAGTGCAAAGACCACCGCAACTCTCAATTCTCATTTCATAAAAAGTTGCAGTTAAAGGAAATCATATCCCTAACGATTTCAATTCAATTCTCATCTAATACAATCGAGATCAAATAATCATAGCGGAGGGTACTAAATCTAATGCGGCGAAGAAGCAGGAGGAAGAGGTAGAGAGAAGACTGAGGCGGCTAGGGTTTCTGTGGGGGAGAAAGAGAAAAAAAAAATTAAAAGAGAACTTCTCTGGATTCGAACATGCGTATTGTCGGTAATAATACAATTACGTTACCACCAGACCACATAATGTAATTGCTAACCGCTGTAAACAGATTATATATAAATAGTTAAACACGTTGGATGAAGTTTTGACACCGTCAAATAATTCCGTCACCCATGTTAACGGCTGTTAACTCGTAAGTACGAATTCACCAACCGTTTTAACATGAATATTTTAAAAGACAGTATTAAATAAACGAAGTATTTTTTCCAATTTTAAAACTACACGTATTAAACGGCCAAAATAAAAATAGATGACGATTTTTTCGGGTTTTCTCCCAAACTAAAAGCCATAGGGCCGAAAAGTTATGGACCATCATTAAATTTCTATTAAAAATTTAATTCCAGTCTCTATTTTCCCTACATTTTAATCTTTCGGCTCTTGTTCTCGTTTTTTCAAAAATAGTTTTTCTTTGAAAATGAATACCATGAAATTCACTCATTTCTACCTAAAGGTGTTAAACACGCCAACACATATTCATCTGGCCCGTCCTGCAATGGAATTTTTTTCTCAACGAAAAGGTTCGACAAGATCGTTGTCCGTGTAGCTATGTCCGTGCATGCTTCAATATATCTATGTCAAGCGGGATAATGGGCCAGCCCGTTAATTGAATTTTTAAATTTTATATAGAAAATAAATTTTAATATACTATCTTTCCTTTGCACAAAAAATTTTAAACATACTATATTTTATACATTAAATTTTTTTTTATCACCTATTTTTATTTATATTTTTTCACCAAACATTATCACCTATTATATCATATCAACTATGTAGAAAAATTATTTTATATAAAATTTATTTATTTATATTAATAGCATACAACAGATCCGACAAGGTACAGATAAAACCCGTTACACTTGAAGTTTATCATGGCTGGCGGCGGTGAGCCAGCCTTCTTAATATTTTAAAATTTTATTTCCTTACCAGCCAATAACAGACTGCGTTGGGCTTGGCCTGCAGACTTAGGCCTGTTTGACTGTTTCTATACCCACGCCTCTTAAACTTGGTACATATGTAAGGTTTAAGAACAAATAAATACAAATCAAACTTTGGTTGAAATAAAAATTATTAGATCTAGTGGATGTATAAACAAATCAAACCACTAAAAAGGTAAAAAAAAAAATTATAACACAAATGTTGGTCTAGTTTTCTAATCTTACTCACTATGCCCTGATTGATTCAGAGGTGTGATCATAGCCTTTTGAAGAATTTCATAGCCAGCTAAGTTTAAGGCTCCGAGAGGAGCAGTCCAGAAGAACCTTGGAACAGCTCCTTTGTAGAAAGCAAGAGGACCCTCATGTGTGAGAATTGAATAGGCAGCCATCCACATCGACAATTCCACGCCTTGTGGAGCCGTCATCATTCTTGTTTTAATCACATCGAATGGCGTTGTTAAGACTGCAGTGAAACCACCAGACAAGGCTCCAACCGCGATGGCTTCCCACGGCTCCAACTCTCTTCCTAATCGTCTCTCTACCACCTGTGAAACTCAATCACAACCACGTCATATTAATTACACAAAGACATGTCATTGTTCTGTTCTATCATGATTACCTTCTTTGATTGGTTGTAAAGTCCCATGCCTGCAACGTAGAAGGGAACCTCGCGTAGAAGGGTAACACCGGTCCCACGAAAGAGTCCTTTGAGCCCATCTTGATGCCAAACCGAAACCGTAGCTTCCACTATGTTATCAAACTGGTTGGCTTGTAACCGTTGTTTCAACACCTCACACGGTATTCGCAATGTTGTCCCCAAAACTGTACCAAGAAAAGACGCGATTGACTGAACCTACAAGAATCAAGAAGCAAAAAAGAATCAAAGAACGAAACATTATGTAACATAAACTTGGCAATGAGCTTTTAGTAACTAACTTGAATATCAAGGAGAGTAGGAGCAACGATCGGTAATGCCAATTTACTTGCTTCATATATACTTGTTCGTAAACCATGGCTGAAAAATGTTGAAACAAGAGAGGAAATCATGATAATGCTTATAACCAAAAACCCCAAGGCAAAGCATAAGAGATGAAACCTTGCAAATTGACCAACAACTGCGGGAATCGAGCCTTTGTATAAACCTCGAGCACCAATCTCTGGAATCTTTGACAATATTTCAAGAAACGACAATGTAGTTGATGCTTGAACTTGTGTCTTATGATCCAAGAACAAATATAAGTAATCAGAACAATCTCATAAACCAAAAAACAAGAACCTGAAATAAGTCCAGAGATTACCTTGACAGTATCCACTGGATGCATCAAAAAAGCAGAGAAAGCACATGAAATTCCTCCAGCTAATGCAGATTTAAGAAGATGTCCAACATCTAATCCAACTCTTGTCCTAACAATTACAGAGTAACAGATTTAGACTAATCCAACATCTAATGTTCAAAAGAAAAACAGTAACTACAAGGTTCTTGTCCTCACCCAGTATCAAAGTTATTGTCTTTAACAACAACATCATTGATCAATGGAGCTATTTCAATGGATCTTGAAGTAAAGTTGCCAACTTTTGCAAAATTTAAGCTACATATAAAGCTACGCGCATCTGAATTCGTTGTTTTGCGAAAACAAGACTCAAGCTTTTGAGAATTTAGAAACAAATCATTGAGAATAGAGAGAAGTAGAGATTCAGGCGATACATGTTTCTTCTTCCGAGCTTTATTCACCATTGTTGATTTCAGTGGATCTGTGGACAAACGTTGAAAAGTAATCTGTTCCTCATTCTTCATTAGAGAAAAAAAGAAGAGTGATTTAAGAGGAATATTGTGAGATTAGTCAATGTTTAATCCAAATTGTGGTTTTCTTTCTCGATTTTTGCCATTTTGGGTTGTTTGTGTTTAAAGTATTAGTATAAAACAACAATGCATATGCGGTGTTCGACCAAATGACTGTGTTAAAAAATTGGAGATTTGGGACTGAGTAAATTTTCTTAATCTACTTTTTTTGGTTAGATTTAAGTAACACAGTCATTCCCAACTGAATAAACCACGTGAATAAATTTTCTTAATCTATTATTTAAAAAACAAAAATATATATCAATTCTTGTTTGAGAAAAAGAAATAAAACTCACAAGTTTTGCTTGAAATTGTTTCCCTATATAAATGGGAATCTTTCCAAATCTACCACATTTTGAAATGTGGCATTTCAAATCTACCACATTTGGGAAAAGCTTTCCAAATGTACCACATTTTGTTGCCACATGCCTAAATCCGGACGAAATTGTCTTTGATGGAGAGAGAAGTGTGTGTCAGAGAAAGGGACAACTTGGGACAAGAGGGAGCAGTCTGCATTTAATGCTGCACGTTTACAATTGTTTTCTTAATATATTAGATAATATTAAATTAAAATCGGGGACAAGTTCATATGGAATGAGTAATATAATTAGATCGGGGACAAGATCAGATCGAATGAGTAATATAATTATATCGGGGACAAGTTCATATGGAATGAGTAATATAATTAGACCGGGACAAGTTCAGATCGAATGAGTAATAGAATTAGATCGGGGATAAGTTCATATCGAATAAGTAATATAATTAGATCAAAGACAAGTTCATATCGAATGAGTAATAAAAGTAGATCATGGACAAGTTCAGATCGAATGAGTAATATAATTATACCGGGGACAAGTTCATATGGAATGAGTAATATAATTAATTAGATTGGGGACAAGTTCATATCGAATGAGTACCAGAATTAGATCGAGGACAAGTTCAGATCAAATGAGTAATAGAATTAGATCGGGGACAAGTTCATATGAGAAGAAACCCAGATCTAAATGTGTAGAATTAGATCGGAGACAAGTTATGATCGAATGGGTAATATAATTAGATCGGAGACAAGTTCAAATCGAATGAGTAATATAATTAGATCAAAAATTGAGCATGATGATTTTTATCATCTAATTCTCTTGATTGTCCATCGCCAGATGGTGTAGTTTTGTCCGCCAAAAATCTGCATTTACTCGGGGACAACTAGATCTTTCTATTATTCCGCAATAGAAGGAAAAAAAGTTCAATAATCCGGGTAGGTGAAGACAATAGTGCTCAACTAATCTGTGGACCAGAATAGATATTATGAAATCTATATAAAATTCAAAACTTTTAAACGAGAACAATTGGTGGACAAGATGTGAGATTCATGATAATAGAGCAGGATGATTAAATCGGGGACATGATCTAGACACAACAGAAAATTTCCAATCGAAGACAAGATTTCGAGACAAAACCGAAAGTTAATTGTTTAGTCTCATGAGAGATAATGTTTCTCTGTTAAAGCGCACGTGTCTCGAGGGATGAGAGATAAATAGGAAAACAAAACAGTTAAGAGAAGTCAAATTGTTGCATCGTGGAGCGCGAAAACTGCTTCAACAAGAGAGGGTAAAATTGTAACTCCACAGACAAATGTGGTAGGATTGGAAGACAGTTCCGAATGTGGTACATTTGGAAAGTTTTAGAGAAAATGTGGTAGATGTGTTAGTTTTTCCTATATAAATTGTTTTGCTTGAAAACACGTAGATTAAGACAAGTTTTGCTTTTTACATTATTTTTAAAAAAATTATTACCTTGTCTCTACATTTAGTTAAAAGAAAATACGTAATAATTGTGTAGAAAAAAAAAGAAAAAAAATGGAAAGAAATACTAAAGATCACGTCAAACAAACAAGTAGCGAGTTCGCCCTTGTTTCTCCCTGGCACGACTGAGCTTGAAGATCTCAAATGACGATTCAACAACGGCGAAAAGTTGATCTCGTCTTCATGAGCATATCTTTCAAACTTTTGGAGGTAAGCGGCTTACGACTGTCAAACGAATAGTTGTTCTCGTTGACATTGATTCTCATAATTTCTCTTGAATCAAAGTTTTGATTCGTAGCACAACAAAATCCTTTCGTTTCATATGGAGTAGGTGAATGAGTAGCTCAATGATGTTGTGAATCGGTTGGTCTCATCCATCGATCACCAGAGGATCGAGTGGGCGGGCGATAGAAATCACCCATCGGTCATACACGGGTTGGTAGGTACGGCCGTACGGGTCATGTTTTGATACGAAGGTCAATTCATGCGATCGGTATGTATTGCCCACCGGCAATGCAAGGTGAGATCCTACGATCCGCGGGTTGATCTGCGGGACGATATGTGGGTCAAGTAAGAGATCGGTCCAGAGGTGTCTTCGTCCATGTCTTGGTGATAAGCCATGAGTTGCGTAAGTGTAAGGTTCTTAAATTCGTCGGTAAAAGCTATAAGGTTCATCCTCAAGTTTTTTCCTGAAACAGTGAAAATCAAAACGAAAAACTAAAAACAAATTCATAGAAGTTACTCTAGTTCATAGACTCGTAAAAAACAATCTCTCCCCGGCAACGGTGACGAAAAGCTTGATGTGCGATCATTTTCGTCTATAGTATTTAAGGATCGATGAATTCCACAGAGAGAGGTAGGCCTAGGCATAATACCCGAACCCGAAGTACCGAACCGAACCTGACCCGAAAAAACTGATCTGAATCCAAACCCAAAATTTTAAAATACCCGAACGGGTCCTAAACTTGAAACCCCAAAAACCTGAACCCGAATCCGAATCCGATCCAAACCTGAACCCGAACAAGTACCCGGACATAACCAAAATATAAATACATAGAATAATATATTAGTAATAATTATATTTACAATAACTTAAGTGCCTAAAATATTGGATTTTAAGATAATTTAGATAATTTTCGAGGGTTTAAGCTACTTTTGCATAGATTCGAGTAAAAAAAATACTCCGTTCTTTAGATATTTTGTGTGTTTTCAAGTAGTTTGATTAGATTTCGATTCAAAATTTTCAATTTTTGGATACATCGGGTAAACCCAAATCCGAACCAGGCCTGAACCCGAAGTTTTAAAATACCCGAACGGTTCTAGATTTCTAAATCCGAGATTTTGATATTTCTAAATCCGAAATACCCAAACCCTAAAAGCCCAAATCAAACTCGACCCGAATACCCAAACGCCTAGGCCTAGAAAGAGGACGTTGTTATATGAATCCGTTAGAAGAGTGTAAGGCTAGGACTACGGCTTTGGTGTGGTGTCATGAGTGCAAATTCGTAAATAAAACTTAAATAAAGCAAGTAAATCAATAAGAGATAAACGTTGGGCATTCAAGGGATTGTAGGTGGTTCAATGATCATTCTATCTAGGAAACTCTAGGTTCATGTTTGTTTACTTCCAAGTCTCGGAATAGGAAACATGAATAATCAATTAACCCTATTGTATAGAATTAACAGTCTAAAAATCTCTATACTCCGTTACTCAACTCACACAGGCAACGATGCATGGATGAAATCAATAAGATCAATTTCGATTATTGTCCATAAAGCCATATAACTAAGTGGTGTGTGCTAGTTATAACATGATACTCATCTAAACTACGTTCGAGTATTTAAGCAACCAGATAGCGAAACCTAAACACTTGTGATCAGAGTTATTTCATGGGCTAACTACATGTATTAAGAGAAAGCTTAGAACGAAAGATAACAATGTAAAAGATCAAACAAAATCCTAGAAATCGCCACCTAAACGATCAATAATGTCCCCCACTTTTATTTCCCTTTAAACCTAACTAGTAAACTACTCTAGCATGTTTAAGGGAATCATCAAAACAAGGTTTGATAAACTCCTAAGAAAAAGATGAATAAGATCTGCATAGGGCTTAGAGATTAGTGCTTAGAATCAAGTACAAAGAGGTAAAGACTTCTCCCTTATGAATCAAAGTAGCAAAGAAGAGAATTGGTGGTCTTCAAAGCTTTGGATCGAGCAAGAGGATGGATGCTGCGTAACTGGATGTTACCTTCGGCTTGTCACAAAATCCATTTTAAAGGCACACCTCTTTTAGTATTTAGAATCCAGTATTTATATGCTTTGGGGTCCAAGAGGTCGATTTAAGGTTCTTAAGTCAAAACTCGGCGTTTTGATAAGTTGCAAGGATGAGGAGGTTAACACTGGTAACATGGTATTTGGCTGCTCTCTGAAGAAGGCTTTACACCGACCTCGGGGGTTGTGGCCAGTCTCAAGGGGTAGCATCTCCAGTCACACTCCTTCTTACCGGTTTTAGACAGGTCGTCTTCAATCAGAAGTAGAATCCATTTGGTAGATCATATTGAGTTGATTCTTCCTCTAGTGTAATCTTGACTCTTCTAGATTTCCATTGAGTCCATCTCTCAATTTTCTGCACAAGAAGACCTCCAACGGATGTCAAACTTCTGGTGCTTTGAATTTGTCCTGAAACGAGTTTTTGTCCTCTTTTGATCTTTTTTGCCTTAAAACTCTTAAAACTTTCTTGGCTCCACAAATACTTGAATATCTCCTCTTTAGCCCTAAAATGAAACCAAACACTTCCTAAAACATAAGAAAACAATAGCTAGAACAGACGAAAATAAGATGTTATCAACGTCAAACACCTCTTCTTTACAATAATATCTGCAGGTGCCACCATTTATAATCTTTTGATCCATATTCTTGGTGCAATTGGTTGCTATACCTTCAACATTCATCTCCTGATTAAAACATGAACAAAAATTGTTAGAATTGGTGAACGACTTTAATTATGGTTCTCTCTTATCAACTAGCACAAATCTCCTCCTCATAAGTCGTTTTAGTTTCTCCTAAGACCTGACTGGACTCTTGTCTTCTCTAGCACGGTGCTCCTTAATTAAGAGAACTCCACTAAAGGTTAGCATAACCTTTCAGCCTCA